CCCAAGAAAGGTTCATGTGAGCAAATCAACATGATGCTCTTTCTTGCCGGTGTGAGAAAGACAAGACTGTTCTTGCCACGCAGCTGATGATGTGAGAAAGATGAGACCAGAGGAGCTTGGGGATGCGAGAAGCTGCAGGGAGGGACTCTTCCTCACATGGGGTTCAGAAGACCCATCACTGCCAATGATTCCCTCGGTCACTTAGGCCAGTCCCCTCAGTTCCAAAATGGTACCTCATCCTCCCTCCCCCACCCCCACCCCAGTGGCTTCAAGCATCTGCCTAGTCACAGAGGAGCAGACTGTATGTGAGAAGGTGAAACCAGAAAGCACATGGGCCTGGTCTGGCCTCCAGACACTGATGTTACAAAACTATAATCCCCTCCCACCCCTCCGAGAAAACCTGCTAACATTCTAGTGTATATATATATATATATATATGTCTAGATACTTTTTCTATGCATATGCTACCAAATGTATGAATTTTTTTATTGAAATGTGATCAAAGCATAAATTCTACTATACAACTTGTTTTTCCCACTTGATACTATCTTGTGGTCCTCTTCCCATGTCAGAACATATAGATCTACCTCACCATTGTTAATGCCGGAGTAGTATTCTGGTGTCTGCGTGAGGCATGATTTATTATCCAACTTCTTCCATCCCATCTCTTTCCAGATGAGCAAGTCACAGCCCAGAGAAGCCAAAGCCACTTCACAAGGGGACAGAAGGGTGACCTCAAATGATCCTTTCAAGACTTTTGTCATGAGAATGAACACAGGAAGATAGCCAAGTATAACATGGCTTCCCACAGACGGCTTCAGACAGCCCAACACCCCACCCCCAACACACACACATACACACACACACACAGTCACCTCTCACCAACCCCAACACATTAGAAGGCAGGAAGATGCTGCCCAGCTCTGCCAAAATGCCTTCCAAAGGGCGGCTCCACCCTGGCGGCTGTCTTTGTCCTGGGCTCCAGCGACCTGTCCTAAGGCCTCTAATGCGAACCCCAGGGCCAGGGAGGCCCCAGAAGCCAGTGCCCTAAGCCACTGTCTGCTGCTCCTGGTGTAATCAGCCGGAGCCAGCACCTGTGCTAACACCTCTGAGTAAAACCAACACCTCCCTGCCCCTGCAGTAATTTAGTATGAAGGATGAAGGGACCTCTCACTTTGCCCAGGGTGGTCTCTGGAGAAAGAAGCTAAAACCTAGCCCACCCTGGGAGAGGAAGAAGGAAGACAGTAGGGCCCACAATTTCTCCATTAACAGCCCTCTGGACCTGTCCTCAGGAACCCTGGTGGCAGTGGTTAAGTGCTTGCTCAGCTGCTAACCGAAAGGTTGGTGGTTTGAACCCACAAGCCACTCTGTGGGAGAAAGATGTGGCAGTCTGCTTCTGTAAAGATTACGGCCTTGGAAACCCTATGCGGCAGTTCTACCCTGTCCTTTAGGGTCACTATGAGTCAGAATCAACTCAACGGCAACAGGATAGGTTTTTTGGTTTGGATCTGCTCTCAGGCTCGGGGCCTCTCTCGAGTGTTGGGAAGCCCCCAAGAGGCATGCTTGCACTCATCCACTTACAGTAAGTGTGAGTGTTCAGATCTAGGCTGGAATTCTGCTCTGCCGTTCTCCAGCTGCGTGACCTCATACACAGCTCCCAACCTCCCTGTGGCCCGATGCCCTCATCTGTCTGTACCCCAAATGGGGCTGCTAGGCAAATTAAACAAGATAATCCTCAGCACAGTGCTTGGCCCATGGTTAGCAGCATTGTTGTTTCCACTGCCCCAAAAGGCTGGTAAAGATGCCAGGAGCAGCTGGTGTGCTGGCCAAGCTGCTCCCCAGGGTGGGTTGGGGAGATTCTAGAGGATCCTTCCCCAGCATCTGGATGTTAACCCCTTGAATTCCTTCAGCCCTCTGGAAGGAGCTACTGATCCTCGCAGCCCCAGGGGGAGCCTGGCTGGCCTGGGCAGCTGGAGACACCGCAGCTCGACCAGCCTCTTCCATTTAGCCCAGGCAGAGCCTTGGAAATAGCATTTTGTGTGTGTGCCACAACCTGTGAAAGGCTTAAAAACTCAAATGCAGCCCTATATCCCACTCCCCAATTACTGATGAAGACATTGAAACCCAAGACTAGCAGGGAGTTGCCCAAGGACATAAAGCGAGTAACAGCAAAGCCTAGACTTTTCCATCAAAGGTGGTTCCTGGATGAGGAGAAAGTGGCTCAGAAACAGGGAAACAGGATTCAGTTTACACAAGTACAATTTCCACAGGACTCTACAAGGACTCACAGACTCCAAAAGCCAGGCTGCCTGTAATTAGCACCAGGCGAGGCTGTGAGGGCTCACACTTCCCAGAGGACAGAGTCTGAGGCCAGGGCTGGGAGCAGGGAGGACTGTTCTCAGGGTTAAGTCATCCATGCCAGGCTGCCTTTTGCAACCAGCCCTACTCAAATGAAAAGCAATTTAAAGCATATGAGAGAATTAAGGCAGGCAGGCAGGCAAACTAGTTTTACCGAGCTGGTGCCAGGCATAGTGCCAGGTGCTTACACATTTAATCTTTATTATAACTCTACTAAATAGGTGTTATCATCTCCATTTTATAGCTGTGGAGACAAGTTCAGAGAAGTGAGGTAACTTGCGCAAGGTCACACAGCCAATATGAAGAGGCCAAAATTGGAACCCAGAAGTGGCTATTCCCAGGAGCCAAAAATGCCGCATAAGGCTTGCAGGGCTCAGAGTCAAGGAGCCTCAGAAACGCAGGCACCAGTGCCCCAGGCTCAGGCGCGCTGACATTCCAGCAAAGGAAACGTGACCCAGACAGCAAGTGGAGAGGTCTGGTTGGCTCTGCGTCCTTGGGGAAACCACTCCACCTCTCTGAACCCCAGCTGATGGGCACTGGCATGGGAACAGAGGGAGGTAACCCCTGACTGGCTTCAGGAAAAGGAATTGAAGCAAACCCACTGAGCCTGTTAGACCTCTCGGAGGCTGACTCAAAGGTTCTCCTTGGCTCACTGTTGTGAGTGACTTGGGAAGCAGAAACCACACACCTGTCCTCCCCGGGGACCCTGGGAGCCAGGCCCAGAGCGGGCCTCCATCTCCCCATAAAGGAATCCAGGCCTGGGAGGGCAGTGAATGGCCAACCTCTGCTCCCAGCAGAGGTACGCTCGGCCAAGACCTGAGTCACTCCTGGCCTGGCCCCGGGAGATGGGTAAGCTGCCTCTGTGTCGCTCTCCCGACCTTGCCCCAGGTCATCCCAGCTGGGCATGAGGAGGGCCTGCCCATCAGGACCAGGGTAGGGCCCACGTGGGGATGTGACAGCCCGGCAGCCAGAGTCCTGGGTTCACGTTCTCACTGGCCCTAGTAAGGCTGTGTGATTTGGGGAAAATTATTTCACT